GAAGCAAAGCAGAGCAGCAAAGGAAGCGGAGAGGTACAGGAAATGGAACACCCCATTGCAAAGTAGGAGAGACAGCATGAAAAGGGGGTTTATCTGATCAGCATCACTGCTGAGCTGTGCTTAAGCTGGCAGGGGCTCTTGTGTGCCTGGGACACCACACTGGGGCGTGACAAGGTCCAGGCTGAACTCGTGGCTCTGCCAACAGGCTTGCTTAGCTAAACCCATGCAGCCCAGTCCCTGCACTTAGCCAGGTGCTCTGTTGCCTGCTTTAAAATACAGTCAGCAGTTCTTCCCTGTCCATCCCACAGGGATGTCTGCACTACAAAGATGCTGCAGCAGCTGTCCCCAGACAAGGATGGGAACCAAATAAACACAGCAGGCAGCAAAATGAACTAAAAGGGACCAAGAGTCCAGCAGTCACCTGAGTGCCACAAAAGCTCTGACAGTGAGAGCACAGCACTGTGGCTGTGACAGGGGGACATGACAGCTCTCTGATGCCCTATTTGATACACACACAGGGGCAAAGGTGACTGTTCAGTGCTGTATCAGCAACAGACCCAGAAAGGGCTGCTTTCCGCCACACACTCCTGCACTTCAGTGCAGACAGGTCACCATGATGCCTGCACAGAGCTCACCCCTCACAACCCATTTCCTCAGCTGACAAGAAGCAGACCTGAGGTTTTATCTCCTCAGTGGGCACAGCTCTGGCTGGTGTGGAGGGAGGCTGGCGGCTGTGGGGACTCGTCTGCACCCAGGTCAGCTCTGCTCCACGGGTTTTATCTCCATCCACTCCAGGGCTGTGCAGCTTTCAACACCCTCAGTGTCAATGACTTCATGCCCCCAAGTGCCATAAACTTCTACAACCACAGCAGCTCACAGATGGGTATGGATGGTTATAAAATCACGTCCTAAATTAGGAGAGCAAGAAGCTGAGATTGGAAGAGTAGGAGGAAGTCAGGAAATCCCAGGAGATGATGGTGGGGGAGGGATTTAGTCTCTTTAGAAAACAATAATGCAGTTTAATCTGTTTTTCTTTTGACTTTACACACTAAAATAAGCTTCTCAGCTTCTGGGGCTGTCACAAATCATAAGGAAAATAAGGCAACTGGAGCCCCATCAGTAGAGTAAGAGCCATATAGCAATAATCCTGAGGAGCTGCACAGGGCTTTCCATCTTCAAAGTGTTTTACAGACAGTAATTTATTAATCTGCAAATTTCCCCTGGCCAAAAGCAACTGTTCTGCCTCTCTGCTAAGCATGAGATCCACAGTGCAGTTCAGCACTTGTGAGAGACAGTGCAGGCAGTGGCTCTGACCTCTGGAGCTAGACCTCTCTTTCTTTCTCACTGCAGCCACAACTCCACTGCTCCAACTACCACCTGAACCCAAAAGCATTGATGACATCAATAATCATCAAAAACCAAAGTAGCTGAAAGCCTTTGATATGGGGGAGTGCAAACAGACATGTTCACAATCCAGCAAATAACAGCAAAGCCTGAAATAAAGCTCCCAGGAGAGAAACTGCTGGCTGCCTTCCAGCCACTGCCTGCCATGCTGGGGTATCATTCTGGCCCAGTCCTGGGCTCATCCTACCACACAGCCTGTCTGATAGCCCCCAAGGGAGCCACAGAGGCATCTCCTATGCACACATGATGATTCCCCCGCCAAAGGGCTGTTTATGCACTGCAGGTACCTGCTCACACCACATGGGTCCATTAGATAACCAGCATGAGGCTGCTCCTCCTCTCCTGGCAACAATATTCTTCTGCTTTTGCAATCCCCTAAGACAGTACTCCCAACCATGGTCATTTCCCCAGCCCTCATGCTACGAAAGCTCTTGGAGGGCGAGAGAGCAGCCTGGTTAGCAGAGAGGGAAAAATTGAACAAGAAGCACAATTACAGCCACATCTTATTTATAAGTTCATATCTAACATTGGCAGCTTCATTCAGAAACAAGAAGATAACTTTATTCTGTATTCATAGTGGCTGTTATGTTCTTTGTCTGGTTTTTCATCTCTTGTGAGCCAGTGTATATTTATATGACTTCAGTAGTGCCAAAGAAAGTATTGTACAACCAGACCCAGGTCCATGGGTTTTTGTTATCCTTCCCTGGCTATCAAAACATCTGGGTTCATGAAGCACCCTACAACATGAATTCCATCTTGAGGATGGCTTAGCTAGGCAGGGAGACCTTGACTACCACTGTAAACACTGGCCCAAAGGTGACGAGTGATGTACTCATGCACTCCATGCACTGCTGGTCAGGATATTGTCAAGAGCAGAAAATTTGCCCACATGTTCAGCATGAGCAAACAGAAGACTCAGGCACCAGTTCAGTCTCAGGCTCTGCATCTCTTACTCTACACTACTCAGATCACATTTCTTCCCTCAAACAGCTTGCACCTCCCTTTCAGCGACTGATTTTGTTTCAGCACCAGCCTCCATACGCAGCAGAAACAGCAGAGCCCAGAGAACAGATGTTTAGAGCCACAGTGCTGCAGGCAAAATCTGGAGGGGAAATAAAGTTTGTGGGTTTGTTTCTCCAGTAGGAAGCAGGGGGAAGAGTAATGCTAAAGCTTTCTGACACACTGCCAGAGAGACTGACAGCCATAGTGGCTTAACTGGATGGAAAGGCCACTTGCAGCCAGAGCAATGCTGGTATTTTAGAGCTGAAATTTAGCAAGTGTTGGTTCCTCACCTCCTCTGTAAGCTCACAGAACTCAGGACTCAGCAGAGCTGGTAGCCCTGGCTTGGGTAGTTCCAGGTCATTATTGCTGACCAGATTGCTCCACTGGGAAGGATGGCAGAGCGGGACAAGTGGCAGCAACCACAAGACAACTCCTGTCCCTGCCTCCAGCCTTCCTCAGTCTAGCCTGGGCTGGAGAGAGAGCTGGTCCCAACAATACAGCATTACATTCAAAGCACAGAAAAGCACTCAGCTGAAATGACAAATCCCAACCAAGTCACACATGTTAAATATCCCAGGAACCAGGTTCCCCAGTGAGAGCTGCCCATTTCCATGGCCCTGCTTGATGTTAGGTGACCACCAGGGCAGCTGCAGACTGTGCACAGCCCTTCTGCATTCACTCCAGATAAGCTCAGCTCTGCTCCCCCCACCCACATACCCTGCTCCAAGAAGGAAAAGCAAGCCCAAATGCTGTAACATTTCCAGAACAAGGCCACTCTACCATACTGCCATGTGTTTATGACTTTGCAAGGGTGAAACGAGCTCCAGTCTCCTTTTGGTGCCAGTCCCAGGAAACCCTGCAGTGAAACAGAGGGCTGCACAGACGGCTGCCCCTCCATCCAAGTACAGCCATCCAAGCCCATCTGAATAACAAAGGACATTCTGACAGTCCAAACCGGTTTATGAAGTCCATGGCACAAATAGGAAGCTTTGAACTGAAGAGTGCATCTGACACCCACAGACCTGCAGGAAATTAAATGCACACACTGCAGTGGATTTGCAGGAGATGTGTATTTGAACTGACCACGTGTCTCATGTATTGAGACTTGACTCACACTCTTGCAGCACTCTACAAGGGTTCTGGCCACCCTGTACAACAAATCTCTGCTAAAGGAGGTATGTTTAAAAAGTACCAAATGCCCTGCAGAAATGCATGGAGGGCTCTGGTTCTGCCAGATCAACTGGCACGTGCCTGTGTGACCCAAATGCCAGGGTGCTCATTTCTGAAATCAGCTTCTTCCCAGCCAACTGTGTTAGCTTCTAGAGCTGCTCTAACATTTCCTGGGCAATCCTGATTCAATTGCACCTACCTCTCATTTCTGCAAAATCCCAAGATGACTGCACGTGGGGTGTTGTAATGCTGCCTCAGCAGGAGGAGGATGTTGCGTTGGTGGAGAGCAGAACAGCTCGTCCAGAAGCAAAAGCAAAGCAGGGATTTTCCCAGCCGGCAGCTGAGATCCATGTCCCTGGGCCCCTCCTTCCCCACACACTCCTACTGCCTAGGGCTCACTGGAGGAGACCTAGGCCATGTATTTTCTCCTTTGCTGTTTCCCCTTTGCTCACCACTTCCACCCAGCCACTGTCAGCCAGGATGGGACATGCCCCACTAAAATGCAGCCTACTGTGAGTGCCTGCAGCCCTTGGGCAGCCCAAGGAGTAAAACCTCCCAGGCTTCAGCCTCTGCCACGAACACTGCACTGAGATGAACCTTGCTGAAGTGCACGTTGTGAATCTGGCCCACAATAATTCAGTGTGGTCCAAGAGAGAATGACAGAGGAGCTGTTCATCTGCTCGGGGTATATTGCAACTGCTTGTTTGCCAGCATTGCAGAGGGACAAGAGTTCATGGGGGACTCATCAAATCCCTGTACAGCCCTTATTTCTGAGCATTTCCCCCCCTAAAACCAGCTCCTGTTCTTTCCTCCCTCCCCCTTTCCACTTGCCTCCTGCAAATCATGCTGTCTCCTTCCACCCCCAAATAGGAAGTCCGGAGCCGAGACATGCACAATCTGCCTCTTCACAAGAGCTGGGCTGAACGAGTGCCAGAGGAGCTGCGAGCATGACAACATATTTCCTGTCAGGAAAGTGACTCAGTGAGACTGGTATCAGAGCTCCTCTTACTCTACAAGTTCCCCTCTCCCCTTGCATTGCTAAGGCATGAGTCAGAATTGGAGAGCTGAATCTCAGTCCTCTCCGGATCCAGCCAGGGATAGCAGAGTTCAGGTTCAAGCCTGGGTCCTTCCTGCAGCTCAGGGACAAGGCAGCTCCATGGGCCAAGCCCTGGATTCACCCCTCACAGAAGGGCAATAATGATGCTGACACAGGGCACAGATGGAGTTTGAAAGCACTTTTAGGTGAAGGTGCTGTTGCTATTTGCTCACGCACCTCTTCATACCACACTGTGTTCATGCATTGTACTACAGTATTTTATACACAACCATTTAATCCAGAAACACTGCAAATGCTCAAAACTCATTGCAGACAGTTTTCTTCTCTGCACAGAAGTGGGCAGGTCCATCACATGCCATGTCCTTACCTGAGCCTCTGCCAAGGGTGACCATGGACAGCCAGAGCGAAACCAGCAGGACACTGACCATCTTCATCCTGGGAGACAAAGCACACAGACCTGGTTATCTGACACTCTTTTACCACTGCAGGCCATTTTTAAACTATGTGTGTTTATTCCTCCATTCACCCTGTGACCGTTTAACTCTGGGACACCCCTGTTTTATTTCATTAAGATTCCTCAAGAACAGCACCCTCATGGCAGCATCACTCTGCCTGCAGGCAGCTTGCCAAGCCTGGGAGGTGATGGCTCTGAAGAGGACAGCCCAGCTCATTGACAAGTCACCAGAATGGTCTGTATCAGGAGCACAAGGAGCCAAATGGATGTTTGCAGGCTACAAACCCCAAGCTCTGACTCCCAAAAAAGGTGCTTTGCCAAGACCTCCTTCTGGTCACCTCTAAGAACAAGCGCAGAGAGCGCTCGCAGTGGTTGTGGCACATCTGCACTGAATGTGTGTCTGACACTGACAGGACACCACACCAGAGCAGTCCCAGCTGGCAAGGTGTGCTGCCAGGGACCTGCAAAGGGGCCAGCTGCCACAGTCTGCTTCAGCCTCTCCTGCAGGCAGTGGAGACAAGACAAGACCTCACCGGCCCTCCCCAGTCAAACCCTCCTTGGAACTTGCAGGTAAACACCAGGTTTGTACACTTTTCAGAAAGGATCTAAACAAAGACTTATCCTTTCTAAGCAGCAGTGATAAGCAAAAAACAATCCCAAACTTTTCCATTCCCACTACAGAACACAATTTCCTGTAATTTGAGATAAATGTACACTGCCAGAGTTTCACTGGCTGCCCACTCCAGTATCTGGCATTCGGCTCTCAGAGCTGCTCACTCACTGGAATTAAATATCCCTCTGTTTCTAGGTTTTTCAGGATGCAATTTATAAGCTGGTAGTCATGAAAACTGACATCTACTAGATGCTCTCATTAAAGGGGTTAAGGTCACATTTGATATTCCTGTGTGCTGTCAGATCACAAAGGGAGAAGAGATGGTTAAAAGGCTGAACTTCATCAAAGCATCTCAGCTCTGCCAGGCAGATGCAGTAATGAGCATGGTGATACTGTCAGGAATGTGCTCATGAGATGACAGAGAAACCTGCTCCATCAGGGTGTGTTAAAAGTGCAGGGGGGAGAAGCCACAGAGCTCCCTTAAACATCTCCCTCAAAAACCTGTCCAGAATATATGCAGTACACAGAAGGGCTTTGAGCATAGGCAGAGAACACCTAAGACTGCACAGATTGCAGAGATTAACAAGAACGGGACACGTGAACTGCACTACTCAAAGCCCAGCAGCGGATATTGAATCCTTCCTTTTCAGGGCTTACATCTGAAAAGCCTTTGTGCGATGCCTTCCCTCTGCTGGGCTCATCTCAAAGAGACAAAGGAAATCTGAAGCATGCCTGTTCTTCCCTGCACAGTCCATGGAAAGGGCTGCACACTGCCTCTGATGCCATCAGGCTTTCAAAAATGGCCAAGAAGCAAGGAAGGAAGTGAGGCGTTTTTTCCCTGGGGTCCAGCTGAGAGGGCTGATCACCCCCTACCACTTCTTCCAAATTGAAATGCCAGCTGCTTATCAAACCTCTCTCTATTGCCACCTACAACCAGCTCCCAATGTTACTTAAGACTCCATAGGGAAGAAACAATATTAAGTACTCCCACCACCTGGAAATGCTGAAGAAAGATAAAACATTGTTATGCCATCAGATTGGACAGCAAGATCCAGCATGCTGCACTCCTGGTAGGAATTAAGGAACTTTTGGTAATTGAGATGCTTGAAGAAAGGGAGTGTAAAGAGTGGCAGGGAATCATTCCCATAATCCAGATCCCTCATGGTTCCCTCTCCATTTGTCATTAGCTAACTGCACAGCGTGTCCTAACTCACCCTTATTTTCCAGCTACTCTCTCCTGCGTTTTGCACAAATCAGACTGAATTCAGCCCTGAAGCAAGCAGGAACCACTACGGACTTTGGATGAGTTTCCCTTGTATTGAGCAAGGCCATTTGCGTGGCCTGAGGCCAAAATAAACTACTACATTTCACTGGGTGATACATGAACTCTGCAGTGAGCTAATATTTACATCCATTAGCTGTGCTCACAGGAACATGCTCCTTTCAACTGTCTCACAGAGCCACCAGGTTCCCATGAGCAAGGTATCCAAGATTTCCATGCTCTGCCTACTAGCAGGAAAATCCTTTTTTTCTTGCTCTACCCAGCTATAAAATCAGGAGCCTCACACACAGAATTATTTACTTTTGGTTCATTCCAGGCTTTCCAGAGATCTTATCAGTGGAGACAGACAGACACAGGGCCTGTCAGATTACAGCAACTTCTCCATTACAGAGAGGGGACACAGCTGACCACAGCCCTGGCTGCTCCTACTCTACACAAAATGCAAAGGACCATGGCAGGGACAGGCACAGAGTCAAGGGCTGGTCAAGGGGAGCCATCACACCCTCCTGGATGCCCTGACCATGCCACAGTTTGCCAGCTCAGCTCTGTTCCTGTGGATTACTCAAAAATCCTGTTCCGGGATTACTCAAAAATATTCCAAAACCCAAACAGCCCCAAACCTGTGATATCCCCCCAAATAAAAAGGTCTTCCCACAGCAGTTCTGTGGTGACACAGGAGAAGAGCATCCTGCTGCAGAGAGGGGTGGGTTTTGCAATGCCCCAAAGAACCACAGGACCACAACCCACCCTGGTCTTGCCAGGAACAGAAGAGTTTTGTCAACCTTTCCCAGCAACCTGCCTGTGTGTTTCGTGACAGGACAGAGCGTGTTGCCATTTTTCCTGCCTGTGATGCAATTCCAGCGCTGTCTGATGAACTCCTTGTGCAATCCCGTAGAACTGCACCAAACACCAAAGGAGCCAGAGGCCAGGGAGTGCAAACCCAGGCTGCAGCAGAAGGCTCCTCCCAGCTGCATCCACCCAGTGCAAATAAAAGTAAAAGGAGAATAAAGTCAGTGAGCAGGAGAGCCTACCAGCTCAGAAATCACACTGCAGCTAGCAAGCAGGCAATCAGAGCAGCCAGGAGGCAGCTGGAGAGCTCTGATACATCCTCAGCACTCCAGGAACTTCTCACGAGACCAATATACTCTGAGGTGCTCTTAATGTCTCCATAAATTAACATTTTAATAATAATTCATAGAGCGGTTAGAGAAATGATCCATCACAGCCCTTGCTAGAGTTTTTTTAAGGAACTTCACTTGAAATGTTCACTTTGTTTCAAATCAGAAATTGTTCCCTTTTCCTTCCAGAGCACTTTTTACTACAAACTTTCACCTTCTGTCTACTGAGGAGCAAAGAAAAGTGGGAGGAAGCACAATCATGGAAGTGTCTCATGCTCTTACCACTAAGGGTGGTGGAAAGTCTAATTTTTTTCATTTTATACTGGTCACAAGTGGCCTTTCTGTCAGAAAAAAAAAATTAATATTTTTATTTAAAACACCTTTTAACAAAACACCCTTGCCAAAGAGACCTCAGCAAGGCATCAATCCCTCCTGCCTTTAACAGCATGGACTCTGCAAAGCCCACACACTCTATCAGCAATTATAAAAGCAAAGACAGATGTCAAGTAATTAACAAAGAGAACTGCACTCAGAGTAACTAGTGCACACCTATTCTCAAAGACACTGTACCAATTCTACAGAAAAATGCTGCATTTTCCAGGAAAAATGCCTTTGTCCCTGCTAACCAGAAGCCTCTATGAGAGCTGATAGGTTTTTTGCTTTTCATGGAGAAGTCACACGAGGGCCTGCAGAACAAAAGCGCCCTTCAGAACCTTGCCACTAAGTGCTCTGACTGAAAGGGAGTATAAAATAAAGCAGTTTCTGAAAGAGGAATAAAAAATTTCAGCCAAAGCACGTTTTGCATAGTATTTTCTCTCTGTAATTCTGTCCCAACTCAAAAGCATTTGAGAGCCCCCAAAAATGGGACACAGACATGGGAAGGCTGGCAAAATCCAGAGTGGGCTAGCTTGGGAAATGCTTTGGTTCTATGCCACAAGAATTTGGAGATGGAGGTTGATTGGTGGGCTCAGAGCAGAGCTGGGGCTCAGGAAAGGGGCTCAGCTCTCTGCTCCCACTCAACAGGGTGCTCACAAGCCCTGGGTCCCTGCACCATCCCACTGCAGCATTGCAGCAGGCTGCTCCATGAGTCTGCTGGGTTTTCTTACAGGGAAAAATAGATGCACAGTTCAAGTAAATTCAAAGAATCCAAAAGGCAGACAAAGGGTTGCCTGAAAAAGCAGCTGCAGAAAAGTAACAGCAAAAACACTAATGGAAAATGGGAAAAGGCCCTTCAGACCCCCAGGAAACACTTTTGCTTTGCAGTATGTGCAGGAGTAAGTCAGACAAAAGGAGGAATTACTGTAGCATAAACCATCTTGGTGCCACTTAGCCTGCACAGTGTCTCTCTGAGCCTGCATCTCCTCCAGAGGCCACGTGGGCACTGCCTGGCACTGCCCTTTGCTGTGGTGCCCACGGTCCCACTGTGTCCTACCCAGAACTGGTCAGTGCCAGGGACAGCCCTCCAGAGGAACAGACTGTGACACCCAGGCAGGAAGACAGGGCACGGCTCTTGGAAGTCCAGCCTTTACTGCCCAGCAGGAACAACCACATTAATGGCAATTTTCATCCCCAGACAGCTCCCAGGAAGAGAGCAGGGAGGGATCCAGAGCAGCGTGATGAGGAGCACACAGAGCAGCTGGCAGCACTCTCCCTGCTCTCGTGCATGCCACGCCACACTCATCACTTCAAACACAGCACAGTGACCAGAGGGCCCAGCGCTGTCCTTGGATAAAATATTCACATCTCTCCTGAGGGCAGGGAGCCCAATTTGTCTCAGCAGCAGCTCCCAAACAGCCAGTCACATTTCAGCAGGGATCAAGCATAGCTGAAGCCTGCCCTGCAATCAGGGATATCACAGGAGCCATAGGTGTGACCCAGTCACTGCATCTACTGGTGATACATCTAATGCAGGACCTGCAAAATCAGTGCTGGAGTCCCACCTGTGCCAGGGTGGCTGCACTCACCAGG